GTGCCTGTAATCCCAGCTACTCAGGAGGCTGAGGCAGGAGAATTGCCTGAACCCAGGAGGTGGAGGTTGCGGTGAACCGAGATCGCCCCATTGCACTCCAGCCTGGGTAACAAGAAGAGCGAAACTCCGTCTCAAAAAAAAAAAAAAAAAATTTTTGCTAATTATGTAAAAACTTGTTTGGTATCTATGCCTTGGTTCAAGTAGCCCTCCATATGCCCAGAATTATCTGATCCAAGCCTTCATCCATGCACAAGAATGACTATTTCTTAGTCAGATGTTGGATACTGTAGGTCTAAAAAATCGTCATTCTTGTGCACGGGCAGGAGCCTACACCTGGTAAGGCAATTTCCACCCCAGGGAAGAAGCCCACGTCTTCTCCCTCTCAGTCCTGGCCTCAGCTCTCTGCCTTCTCCTCCCCTAGCGCTGGGCCCTGTGGAACTTGCCCTCACCAGCATCATGACCTTGCTTGCCCTGGGCTCCATCGCCATCTTCCTGGAGGACGCCGTCTACCTGTACAGGAACACCCTTTGCCCCATCAAGAGGCGGACCCTGCTCTGGAGTAGCTCTGCACCCACGGTGAGCCCCTGGGCTGCCCTTTGGGAGGAACTGAAAAGAAGGCAGAGACCAATTCGAGAATTCCTCTATAAACTCAGCCATTCGCTTCCCCAGAGAGCTTCCTGCCACTCCCTGCGGAGGGTGGGGGCAATCTGATCTCCAGCTGCAGCTAGGGGCCTCTGCTTGGAAGGCCACAGGCTGTGGGGTGCAGTGTTTGATTCTCAGCGCTGCGGAAACAGCTGGAGACCATCGCCCACCAGCGCCTCACTCACCCCCCGCCCCACAGTACCCTACTGGAAGAGAGCTTCCTTCCTGCAGAGGCAGGCCGCGGTTCCTCAGAGTGGGGACGTCTTATCCCACAGGGTCACACTCAGCCCTGCCCTCATGCCAAGGCTTTTGAAACGCTCCCACAGCCACATAGGTCCTTGGTTTGCTTGATTAGTTCTTTTTCCCGTGGGCAACGGTTAAGGAACGCTGCCTCAAATGTATAGGTTTTGCCTCCTGTGCCCTTGCACAAAAGGTATGAGCGGTCTCCCCCACGCTCACCCGCTCCGCCCCTCTGCGCAGGCGAGCGTTCCCCCCACCCCCTCTGCCCCTCT